ATACGACGACAGGGTGGTGGATTTTCAGGTCGTTGAACCCCCAAGCCCAGGCAACTTAAAGCGCTTTCAACGACGAAGGGTTTATGTTGTTTTAACGGTACGGCAAGGGTTTAAAGGTTCAGGGTCAGCTTAATCGTCGGTCACTTCCAACTAACTCAAAACCTTCATCCTAGCTCTGCCCCCGCAAGGCCTAAAAAGTGACCGGAGCCCTCAGTAGAGCAAGCATGCCACGAGCTCGTAACCCAGCTCTAAACAAAACGAACGGATAAAACCACCCGACGTGCCGCACCTCATCTTCCAACACTGCGCCATCGTCCTCGAGAGCATTCGGTGGGGAGGATTCTCTGGTCTCGCACCCTAGACTCTGACTGCCGAGAGCTGCGGGAGAAAAGCGCAATATACTGACTGAACTCAGGCTCTGCCTATTGGTTCCTACGGTATCCTTCATGCCCGAAGCCCTGAACCCACAAAGAAGTTGATCCTGCAACCCTGATCCGACACAAAGCCGCAACCCTACAGTACAAGTTTGAACCCATAAACCTTTTTCTGAACCCGAGACACTTTACATCACCATGAACCCGTAAACCTGTCCATGACTAAGCCTTTCCTAAACCCAAGACCTTTCCAACATCACCTCAACCTGCAACCTGCCATCAGAAACCACCGTCCGGCGCGGCAGGGGGCAACTGAATGGGCCCATCCAAGATCTGCGCGAGAACTAGCCTCGGCGGAGTAGTTATACGAGCCACGGCTTCGGCTTTAGGACTCAGGGCTTAGGGATACTAGTCCTGTAATATTCCCCTTTCTGTAAGTACACCAGAGTATGGAACATTCGGCAGTGTGTTTGAGCTTGGGGTCTTGGGCTTAGGCTTGACGGTGGGTCCTGGGCTTGTTGGGCTTAGGGTTTGGCATTTAGAAGTTAGGGCTTGGGGTGTAGGGGTGAAGGCAAGAACACTGTTAACAGGCGACAGATGGCCCGAAAAGTAGCAAAAAAAGCAGCCCGAAGAGAAGAAAGCAGCGGGGTTGGCGAAAAGGCCTACAGGCCTTAAGCACGCAAGACTTCCACCGCGGGAAGCGATGACCGAAACCGGAACCCAGTCTTGCTGCACTTTTGTTGAGGCACTTGTGAGACGCTCTAGAAACCCGCGACCAGAGCCGCAAACTACGCCTTCAGCGCTAGCGCTGCAACCATAGTATAGATCTCCACATACCCCTATAAAGGGAGCCTGCCTCTGAGGCTTCAGGGTTTGAGATATCCGAAGAAGATAGTTTGGAGCGACTGGGGAGGACGCTTTATAGGGCGTTTTAGGGCTCTGGCAAAATTTCTTTGTGGGCTCTTGTTGGAGTCTTATCACCATTGGGTTCTTGCAGGTTTCTTGCAGATCTTTTGGAGTTGTTTCTATGTAAAGGTTCAAAATCCCACAACCTTAAACTTAAAGGCAAAACCTCGAACCCCTAAACTCCGAAGTTCCGAAGTCGTGCGACCCTGAACCCCCCTCACCCTTAACCCCGAACATCCCCCCGCACCCTTACACTCTTACCTAAACTCCCAAGCCCCTGTCCCCCGTTGGAACCCTAAACCGCGAAGCTCAGCCCTAACCCCGAACCCTAAACCCTAAACCCTAAACCCCTAAACCCTGAAAGTTCAACGAACTCTGGCCCTCTGTCTCCTTGCAGGAACGTCGTGCCTACAGCTGGCGATGTGGATCAAAACAGGCGCCCCGGTTTGCAGAGGGTTTTTGTAGCTCCGTAGATACCGAACCATTGTGACCCCGCTGCGAGCTGACTGTTATCACATCCGACGCTCGATCCCCGAAGACTACCAGTTGTTGACACTTTCATGGTAGCGGAGCCGGTGGCTTAGGACCGCCGGCTCGGTGTTCGATCCAGGGAGTTTTTGTGGCTCTGGAGAAGGATTCTTCAGAGATCAAGATGAGTGCAACGACTGAAACTTCGTCTACAGCGCCCTCGATGAGGAACAAGGACGGCATCCCAGCATGGGGAGGTGATGCCGGGACATTCACCCTCTACGAGGAAACTGCTCTCCTGTGGGAGCAGTCGCTTACGTGGGAGAAGAGGTACACGGCTGGCCCGAAGCTGGTCCAGGAGCTCTCCGGCGCCGCCAAGCGCTATGTTGCCGGACAACCGCCAGGATGGGTGGCCTTCAGGGGCGGCGTTGCCGTTCTGATGAACCACCTCAGGCAGGCCTTAGGCAAGCCTCGGGTGAACGAGGTGACGGACCTGCTGGCCTTGTACTTCAAAGGGACAAGGAGAAGGAGCGGCGAAAGTATGAACGAGTACGTCACTCGCAAGAATGAGGCGTACATGCGGGCTTGCCAAGCAATGAGGCGGGTGCAACCTCATTACGAAGCTGGCCAAGCGAGCTCCACGAGCTATTCCTGGTGGCCCTCGAGACGGACCAGTATGGACTACCAGTCTCAGGCTGGGACATGGAGCCGTCAGTGGACACCCGCCACTGAGGAAGGCCCTACTACAGCGACGGAGGAGACCACCACGCAGGATGGCTCAACGCGGGCTACGGAGGATGCGGCTTGGGAAGAGCACGATCCCTGGCGCCATGCCTGGCGTCCCTATTCCTGGAACGGAGGCTCAGGCTGGGGATGGAACTCCTCGTGGTATGGATCCGAGGGGAACTGGAACTGGTCCGAGACTTCGTCGACTTCTACTTCGGGTACCGGCCTGCCAAAGGCCGGCGAACTACTTCCCACCTTTATCCAAGGGTGGTACCTGCTCATGGATGCGGGCCTGGACCACGGAGAGCGAAATCTGGTGGTCACGGCCTTGGGCGGGAACTTTGCGCCGGAGAAGGTGGGACAGGAACTGAGGAATCAGTTCCCCGAAGGCGAGACCAAGCGACGGGACAGCCGGCGCTTCCAGAACTACATGGGTGAGGCCGAGGAATGGAACGAAGATGATGGCGACACCACAGGTGGCGGCTACACCCGGGATGAGCTCGAGGCCGAGGGCTACGACGAGAGCGAGATTGCCCTCATTGCGGACGCAGAAGATCAAGCTCAGGAGGCTCTGGCAGCGATGCAGGATGCCAGACGGACGCTCAAGGAGGCCAGATACAAACAAAAGGTCGTGAAGCAGAGCCGGAAATACTTTCGCGGCGGTGGCAGCCGAGGACCCTCGTCTTCCAATGGGAGGGTTCGCGATGACAGCAATCTCGACTGTCTGAAGTGTGGACAAATTGGGCATCGGGCCGCCAATTGTCCGAACAGGCCCACCGGCACGGCAGCTCAGGCAGATGGTGGCCAGCCAGCTGCCGGAACACAGCAGGCACCTTTCGTGTGCCTGGCCGAAGCCAGCGAGGATGTGATCCAGGAGTCCAGCGACATCCAGGACTCTGCCGCCTTCGCACAGTCGGCCCTCAGCGCGGACGCCCGCACCAACTTGCTCTCAACCCAGGAGGCCGTTCGCAAGGGCATGTGTGTGATAGATGGCGGGGCCACTCAGACGATTGGAAGTGTTGCTGCTGTAGAGGCGGTGCTAGATCAGAATAGGAAGCTTCATGGAGCCACCCGCCTCAAAGGCATCAATGCTACCAATCCTCCGACTTTTTCCTTTGGGAATAGCACGGAGAACCGTTGCTGTTCCACAGCGAGACTTGAGGTCTCGGCCAACGGCCAGCGTGGAGAATTGCAGGTCCACACGCTGGACCAAGGGCAAAGCCCGATTTTGATGAGTGTAGAGACATTGAGGCGGTTAGGCGCAGTCATAGATTTTAGGGATGACTTAGCGGTGTTTAGGGCCCTGGACGATAGGAAGGTGCTGCGGCTCACTCGCGGCCAGTCCGGACACCAATTGTTGTCTCTGACCCAGGACTGGATGTCTCAGGCCGAATCCGCCTCACAAGCTGTTCCCGGACTTTCGTCTTACCTGCAAGGCTAGGGACAGCTCCTTCCGGATCCTTCTCCTGACGGGAAAAGGAAGGACGTACAGTGTGAGTCAGGAAGGGTTTTCAATCTTGATGCTGCTGATCACTCTGGGGTTACGAAGGGTGTGGGTAGCAGTAGGATTGAGGGGAGTGTAGGAACTTTAGATCTCGAGCAAAGCTGCGGAAGCCACAGCAGGGGAGAGCCAGTGCGAAGTGATGAGTCAGAGCCGGAAGTGTGTCGTGAAGCACATGTACCAGACAACCGAGATGGCAGCAATCCTGGCTCACAACCTAGTGCCCCCTGCGTACCCACTTGTGATCCCCGCCATGGACAACATGACCAAGGCGGACCTCGTGTTGCGGCTCAAGAGCCACGGCGAGGAACCACCCGAGGAGTGGACAAGATCGAACTCAAGCAGCGGATTCAGGATCTGATCCAAAGTGGCGAGATGACGGAGATCAAGAATGTCAAGGAGAAGACGCCCATGCAGACGGCAGTGACGGAACTCAACAAACACAGCCGACGCAAGGCCGAGCTGATCCAGTACGTGACGAGCGAGTACAACATCGTGCCGACCACGAACGACACCATCGGGACGATCCAGCACAAGGCGATGGCGGCCATCCTCAGCAGCACCAAGCCGACCGGCGCGGACCTGATGGGGTTTGGGAAGTTCTCGGCCCGAACCTACCAAAGCGTGCTGGAAGAGGAGACCAAGTATGTGGAGTGGGCCCGCCAGACCGAGATGGAGGGGGACTGCTCCATCTACCTCAGTCGCTTCATCCGCTGGGTGAAGACCTACGCCGAGGAGGAAATGGCCGAGCGGAACCGGGCGATGGCCAAAGCAAAGGAGCAACTACGGGCGTCACCAAAGAAGGGCTATGCGGCGGCAAAGGGTGCGGCTGCAGCGCCTTCCGGCGCCACGAGCAGCACAGATGTGAACCTCGATGCGGTGGCCAACTTGATGAAGGAGGAGCGCAGCGAGAAGCCGAGGAAGCAGTTTGCCAAGGACGTGGATATGCCGAACCCGAAGGACACCGAATGAGTCTTCAGGCTTCAAGGGTGTTGGAACATAAGTTTCAGGATGTTATTCTCAACATGTTTGAGCAGTTGGTAGGACAACAGCGTATGGATCTGCTTGAAGTTATGTGCGAGCCAGACAGCCTGTTGACAGCCACCTTCCAGAGGAGAACGGGCCGAAGTGACAGCGCTTGTAGATGCTCGTTGTGGTGTGGTCATGACCTATCAACCCCAGGGGGCCTTGCGGTGACTCTGGAGCAGATTCGTACCCTTAAACCGCGACATGTTTGGTTATCACCTCCTAGTGGACCGTTTTCGCCTCTTCAGAGCATCAACCAACGGACCCCATCCCAGATTCAGGAACTCAAGGCTAAGAGAGCCAATGCCACACGGATCTATGAGAGCACATTGGAAATAGCCAAGGTGTGCATGCAGATGGGCATTCATGTTTCAGTGGAGATTTCGGAAAGGTCCGAGGCCTGGAGGCTCCCGGTTCTTCAGAAGTTGCGGTTCAACATGGGGCTCCATACTTGTACCGTTAAGGGCTGTGCTGTTGGACTTGTGGGTCAAGACGGACAGTTGATGCAGAAGGGATGGCGAGTTGTGACGAGTCATGCACGGCTTGCGGACCTCCTTCACAAACCATGTCGTTGTGCGAGTAACTACAAACATGCGAAGTGTGAGGGTGCGAATGCCAGGGGTTCCAGTCGGTACACTTCGGAGTTTTGCCGGTTGGTGTATGAAGGGTTACGAAAGGAGGCTGAACTTCAGGGAATTGTTCAGGAGTGTTCAGGTGACTCCAGGCTTCAGACTGAGTTTGGATTGGGGCTTCGATGCACCTGTGAGGAACAGGCACACTTGGAGGAGTGTGGCAGCTGCATGGTTCAGAGGGCTCAGACAGAAGAGACTGGAGAGGGTTACATGAGTGACCTGGACAACCAAAAGCTAGAAGCCAAAGCCAAAGCCCTGTCCGAGAGCCCAAGCCCCCAGAACCTTAACCAGGTCCGTGAACTCCTTACCGAACACCCGCTTCAAAACACTGGTAGCTCTAGAAGGAAGCACGCCCCCAACACTGACTACGCTTTTTGGAGTGTACGCGTATGGAAACCACTACGGACTGACCAATCGAACCAAGTCCTTTCCGGAACTCTGTAGGTGTATCAATCAAACCCTGAAGCGCTACCTTCCCTCCACCATGCAATGGAGTTCTTTCGTGATCAACCACGGTAGCTGCCTTCCTGTGCACCGGGACTGCCACAACAGTCCAGAGCACCCCAACGCAAGTATTGGTTTTGGGGAATATACGGGAGGAGGGCTGTGGGTTGAGGGTCAAGAGTCATTGTGTGGTCGGAAGGGTCGAATTTCGGTGAGGACGAATAGTCAGGGCGACTTGGTTGAGGGATGTGAGTATGATATTCAGTTGAGTCCCGTGGTCTTTTCACCAAAGTCATGGCATGGAACTTGTGCTTGGAAGGGAGACAGATGGGTTGTGACGGTGTTCGTGAGTCGAGGCTTTCAACATGTTGGTTCGGAAGAGGTTCAGGCCCTGAGGTCCCTGGGATTTCCGGTTCCGAAGATTGATCATGAGGCCTATCCAGCTACTCAGGTTCGAATCAAACAAAAATCCAGAGACCCCGACGAAACGATCAAGACACAGTTGTACCTTCTGCACTGTGCCACTGGACATAGCCACCCCAAGCATATGATACAAGCCCTGAAGCGACGAGGAGCCGATGAAAGAACCCTCAAGTTGGCTGAAGAGTTCAAGTGTTCAGTTTGCCAAGAGAAACGAAAACCCCAAAGCCGAAACCTGGCGACTCTCGAGCCGCTTCCCCCAAAGTTCACGACGGTGAGTGCTGATATCGGACACTGGGTGCACCCTCAAACTGAGGAAAGCGTTTACTTCATGGTGATTATAGACGAAGGCTCGAGATTCAGAACTACGCGTATTCTCACTAGAGGCCCACGTCAGGCTCCGAATGCCCAACATTGTTTACAATACCTTCAAGAAGGCTGGGTTCAGTACTTCGGGTACCCCAAGTGCTTGCGATTGGACCCCGCGGGTGCTTTCCGGAGTCAAGCTGTAGAGGATTGGTGTGATCGCCACAGTGTGTTCCTGGACATTGTGCCCGGGGAGGCACATTGGAAGATAGGAGCATGCGAAAATGCCGTCCATGGCGTCAAGGAGGTGATGCAAAAGCTATGCCAGTATGATCCAGAGTTGAACGTGGAACAGGCCTTGTCCGAGGCCACTACGTGCTTTAACCATAAGGAGATCATACGTGGTTTTTCTCCTGCGCAACATGTTCTTGGCCAGGCTCCAGATGAGACGGGCAGATACCTGTCAGCGAGCCAGGGCTTACCCCCAGATCTGCTCTGCGAGAACAGCCAAGGCGAGTTTGCACGGGCGGCTAATCTACGAAGTGAGGCCGAGAAGGCTTTGAGCGAGTGGCAAGCCAAGCAGCGCATCATGAGGGCCCAGCACTCAAGGCATAGGCCATGCTATGATTACCAGCCTGGGGAGCTTGTTTTCTATTGGCGGTGCCAAGATGCCAACAAAGGGCGCCGCCAACCTGGCGGCAAGCATGGCCGGTTTCTGGGGCCAGCCAGGATACTGGCGACGGAATCCCGTCGCGATGAGTCTGGGAACCTACGCCCCGGAGGGGCAGTGTGGCTGGTGAAAGGCCGAAGCTTGTTAAAGTGCAGTCCAGAACAACTACGGCGAGCTTCGGAGCGAGAAGAGTTACTGGAGGCCATGGTGTCCCCAGCAGATCTCAAGGTCCCTTGGACCTACCACATGGTGGCAGAGCAGATAGGTCCGCTACGAGGACATCTCCGGTGAGACACCGGACGCATCAGAGTGGGCACGAGCTCAGGATCCCACACAAGAAGTGCAGCCCCAGGTTTGGACGCGGCACCAAGAGAGCTGGCGATCAGCCGGCCCAACAGGAGCCCATGGACGACGACCCCCTGGACCTCGACCTCGAGGCCGAACCGGAACCACAAGGAGACCGTGAGAGGTCTCGTAGCCCACGTGGCGGTGCAAGTGGACCTTCTGGTGCCGATGCCGCGGCCTGGTACACCGAAGTCAAGGACCAATCTTGGCCAGAGACCGCGAGCGCCTACTGGTCGGACCATCAGGCGGCGGTGGCAATCGAGATCGCCATGCCTAACAGCCGTCGAGGTTGCGAGCGAGCTTGGAACAACCTGGGTGGCTACTTTGTAGGCAGCATGCGGCGGCGAGCCGTAGAGCTGTCTGAGAAGCGGATGACAGCAGAAGACCTGGAGGCCTTCCGAGGGGCGAAGGCGATTGAAGTCAAGAACTTCATCGCCTCTCAGGCGTTCGAAGTGTTGCCGGAGCATCTCCGGCCGGACCGCAGCCAGGCTATTGAGATGCGATGGATCCTGACTTGGAAGCTGCGAGAGGACGGCTCTCGCAAACCGAAGGCGAGGGCAGTGCTGCTAGGCTACCAAGATGGCGGATACGAACATCGTGCTACCACTTCTCCGGTCATGACGAGGCAGACCAGGCAACTCTTGTTGCAGATGGCCGCATGGAAAAAGTGGAAGGTCAAGAAGGGGGACGTGACAGGAGCGTTTCTCCAATCAAGGGCCTATCCCGACAAACTTTATTGTGTGCCATGTCCTGAAATATGCGAGGCCCTGGGAATCCCGCCAAACAGCGTGACAAAAGTACAGAAAGCTTGCTACGGCTTAGTTGATGCTCCATTGGAATGGTACAGGTCAGTTGATGAGTTTTTGCGGCAACTAGGCTTTGAGCGTCTGTGGTCAGACTCATGCTGTTGGGTACTGCGCGAAAAAGGGGTTCTGAGAGGAATCATCAGTGGTCACGTGGGTGATTTTCTGTTCGGAGGCCAGGCCGGTGATGAACTGTGGGAGTCGAAGTTAAGGGCCATCAAGGAGCACTTCAAGTGGGGTGATTGGGAAGAAGGGAAGTTCACTCAGTGCGGAGTTGTGATAGAACAGACGGAGTCAGGGTTCGAGTTGTCTCAACCAAGCTACTTAGAGAACCTGAGCGAGATAGGAGTGAACGCTTCTAGAAGAAAGAACTCCCAGGACCCTACGAGCGATCGAGAGAAATCTCAACTGCGCGCCTTGCTAGGAGGTTTGAGTTGGCACGCCCAGCAGGTCGCTCCTTACCTCGCGGCCGAAGTAGGGTTGCTCTTAACCGAGGTAACGAAGAGCTGCGTGGACACGATGATCCGGGCGAACACTTTGCTCGCCCACGCGAAGCTCAAGCAGAGCTACAAGATGAAGATCCATGCCCTGCCCTACGACTCCAAGGTGATGTTTGTGGCCTGGGTGGACGCTGCCAATAGCAACCGCATCGACGGGGGTTCGACCCAGGGCATCTTCGTGGGAGCAACCACCGAGAACATCATGCAGGGCGATGTGTGCGATGTGAGTCCTGTGAGTTGGCACTCACAGAAAATCGATCGGAGCTGCAGGTCGCCTGGCGCAGCAGAGGCACAGGCGGCAGTGAATGGAGAGGACCAGCTCTTCTCTACCAGATTCCAATGGAGCGAAATGCTTCATGGGCGGCCTGACTTACACAGGCCAGACGAGACCGTGAAGCTGACAGCAGGAACGGTTGTCACTGACAGCCGTAATGTCTACGACAAGCTGGAGACCGAGGTGATGGTGATCAAGGGAGCAGAAAAGAGGACGAGCATCGAGATGCTGGCCTTGAAAGAAGCTCAGGCTTGCACAAACGTGCAGGTGAGATGGGTGCATAGTGAGGCACAACTGGCCAACACGCTCACGAAGAGCGGAGGCCAACGCGAGTACGACCTCTACTACCGTATGGGTCACAAGTGGCGGCTGGTGGAGGACGAATCTATGATGTCGGCACGGCGGAGGAAGGAACTAGGATTGCTACCGCTCGAGCAGCCTAGCAAGAGATCTAAAGTTAAGAGTTGCGATCTGGGGAGTGATCAAGCAGCTTCGGAGCCTAAGAGCTCCACCAATCTTCTCCAAGAGGAGAGGGGGGCATGAAAGTTCAACGAACTCTGGCCCTCTGTCTCCTTGCAGGAACGTCGTGCCTACAGCTGGCGATGTGGATCAAAACAGGCGCCCCGGTTTGCAGAGGGTCTTTGTAGCTCCGTAGATACCGAGCCATTGTGACCCCGCTGCGAGCTGACTGTTATCACATCCGACGCTCGATCCCCGAAGACTACCAGTTGTTGACACTTTCAAACCCTAAACCCTAAACCCTAAACCCTAAGCCCTAAACCCTAAACCCTAAACCCTAAACCTTGACCCGGATCAGCCTGAACCGGACACTGCCCGAATCCCCGAAACTGAGCCCCGCGGCTGCCCATAGAGCCAGTTCGAAACTAGCAGGAGCAGGGCAGCCTGGTGTTCAGGGCTTGGGGTTCAGGGTTCAGGGTCTAGGGTTTAGGGTTCAGGGTCTAGGGTTTAGAGTTTAAGGTTTAGGGTTCAGGGTCTAGGGTTTAGAGTTTAGGGTTTAGGGTTCAGGGTCTAGGGTTTAGAGTTTAGGGTTTAGGGCTTTGGGTTCAGGGTTTAGGGTTTAGGGTTTTGGGTTTTGGGGTGTAATGTATATAGCATGTAGGGGCCCTAGTACTTCGAATAGGGTTTTGGAGGTATATAATTATACTATAATACCAGCAAGGAACCCTTAAGCCCCCTACAATGGATTTAGGGGTCTTGGGGTTTAGGCTTTGGGAGTTCTTGAGCCTTTGGGTTTCCCGGGGGGGCTTTCAGGTCACATGGTCCAGGGTTTCGCACATCCACCGACTGCGCGGTTTCTGAGTGTCGGAGACCATCAGGGTTTGGGGCTTCTTTTGTTTTAGGGTTTAGGGTTCGGGATTTAGGGTTGCGGGTTTAGGATTTACGGTTTGGGTGTTTTGGGTTTAGGGCTTTTTGTCAGTGTTATAACTCTTGCACAAGACAAGCAGACATAACAGCACGATGCACAGTCGTTATCACCATCACCACCGCCACCATCATCATCATCATCATCATCATCATCAACACCATTATCACATCTTCTTCTTCAGCACCATCATCGTAATGTCATGGAATATTCGAAGGTGACGAGGTTCAATTCATGACGCTATCGAGGGATCAGGGTTTAAGGCGACTAGGGATTGGGGGTTGGGGTCTCGGGTGGTTTAGTTTCGGGGGTGACCAAAGTCACCAGCAAACAGGGCTTACTCTGTAGCGGTTTACGGCGGTGTAACCCTGAACCCAAATGGGTAGTTGTCAAAATTATGGTCACTTTTTGGGTACCCTACATATAAGGTGCCGTATGAGAATAGGGACCCAAAAAGGGACCCTAATTCTGACCACCACCCAAATGCAGAAGGCACCAGAAGCATGCCAGACCGGAAGATCGTCCGCGAGGGCGAGCGGTTCACGACCTGCCGAGGTTCTTCGAGGGCCTCTCTGACAGCAACAATTCCTTTACTTATGGTATACTATAGTATATTATGTTATATTATGGTATATTATGGTATATTATAGTATATTATGGTATATTATGATACCCAATACTTACCTTTGGTTAGTAGGGAATGGAGGAATGGGGTACAATTACAACTACTATTACTACCATTCCTCCATTCTCTACTAACCAAAGGTAAGTTTACAAGACTTACAGGATTCAAGAGTTTAGGGGCGAGGCTTCTTGGAGTGGAGGATTGTGCGGAGCATGTTCCTACCAGGATTCTCAGGGGATGGCAAGTTTCATAAACCCTCAACTACTATTTGCTTAAGAAACCCCCAAAAAATAAAAAATAATAATCCCTATATTACCCCCATAAGGAATATATTTTTTATTTTTTGGGGGCTCTTAAGCAAATAGTAGTCAACTGAGACTACTTTGCTTAGGGCTGGAGCTTTGCCACCGAAGGACAGAGACCCCAGATCCAGCCTGAGGCCCTAATATGCGGGTACACCATGTTTTCCAGTATTCTTCAGTAGGCTTCGTACCTGTGGGAGAATATACCCCAAAACCCAACTCTAATTCTTGAGGCCGCGCCATTTTATACTCCGAATTTGGGGGGGGGGGGGGATTGCAACCCTTGAGCCGCTCGGCACCCTACTGTAACGCAGCCACAGACCTTTTTGAGAAATCTAAAGCAGCTGCTAATATCGCCAAACTGCCAGGAACACATGTAACAAATCAGAAATCATTCAGGTAGACCTCCAAAGAAACTAAAACCCATCAACACCAAAATTGCCCAAAAACAAAAGCATAAAGCAGTCGGCGGTAGGCCTCCGAGACGGACGGCAGCCAGCAGTTCGGAGGCCAGCACGGCCTCTGAATGTGAGGCAAGGGTAACCCCCCCAGAAGTCACCCTAGAGCCGTTACCGCGGGACAGAGCGGTGTTCAAGAGCCACGTTTCTGACTTCCGAGATTGCCTCGTCCAAAGACCCACAACGCAAGCCAAAATCATCTTGAACCGATGATTCCCCCCACAGGGCACAAGCTCTCTGTCATGTTGCGACCGTGCCCATACAAGCGTCGCGTTTGTCTCACACCAGTCGGCGATAATATGCATCACCCGAGTGTGCACGCTGTTTCATAGAATTAGATGTCTGTAGCGAGAGTTTGTACGAGCACGCGAGATGTCACAGCCCATCGCAATTCAGATGGCTCCATCCCATAGCACGGGAGGTATCCCAACATGTCAAAAAAAGATGGCCCTCTATCCAACCCCCCAAGGCACACGAGGCCCGAAACAGGCAACATTCAAAAACAAATTCACCACTTTGGGGATTGCAACATGGGGCCAGCCTCGACTGGCACAGCTAGACTAAGTGCAACACTGAGACGGGCAAAGACATCCGAGTCACAGAACACCCCTGTGACGCGCACTTGATCCCTGCAAATCCCTCCACCACCTTGAACCCTGAACGAGATCTAAACCCTTAACCCCTTCATTGCGCCTGTACAGAAGGAGGCACACCAGCACCGTGACCAGTAGAACAAGCGCTGCTAGGCCAGGCACTACCGTGGAACCTCATGCGGTCCGTATGTTGCTTTCCCTACCCTCACATGCCTCACATATCGTGCGCAAGCTGGAGAAGCTTTCCATTCACGCGGTCGGCGGTTGACGAGTTTCGGGATTCGAGTTTGGGGGGCTTCAGGGCTCCGCGTTTTGGTTTTTTTAGAGGCGTTTTGGCTTCACAGATCCATGGCTTGGCAGGGCTTGGCGGCTCGAAATCTCTTCGCTTCGCGACTCGGTGCAGCTTTGGAGCAGATGCAGCTGGAGGGGTCTCCTTGGCTTCGATCACTATAAGGGTTACTGTATAAAAGTTAATATATAAGTGTTGCTACAAGGGTTACAGTAAGGATTACTACAAGGGTTACGGTAAGGGTTACTATGAGGGTTACTATAAGGGTTACTATAAGGGTCTCCTTGGCTTCGCAAGTCTGCCTTCCAAGAAAAGCAAACTAGAAACTCAAAACCCGCGGTTCAGGTACGAGTTGCTAAAGTATGAGGGGCTTTGGGCTTGCTGTATGGGAGTGGGTTCCATATTGAATAGACCGGGCGGAGTTGCCTGGAGCACCACAACGAGTCGGAAGCAGACCGCCCTGTACCCTCCCCAAAGCCTCGATGCCACAGCCTACATCTTCAAATTCCCAGAGGCAGGCCCAAAACACCAGCAAAACCCAAAGCCCGAAACCCTTCCCCCCCGGACCTTCAACCTGAAAGCCCGCTCTACGTTCAGGACCATGCCCAGAGGAGGTTTTCAGCAAAATACGGTCCCTTGCTTAGGGATCCTTGTTATTTTAAGGAGCCCGCAGTTGAAGGACCTCTATTCGGATCCCGTTTTCTGAAACTCCTCCAAGAGTCGGTAGAGGCCCAGCGCAGCCAGGATGCTAGAGACGGCGAGCACTGACAAAGCCAGCTTTGGGGGTCGAAGCTTCAGGTCGGCTTGCGGTTGTAGGTTTCAGGGCTGAGGCTTTGGGGTGTAAGGTTTATAACCCTATGGGGTCCTGGTAGCGAGAAGGGAACCAGAGACTGCTCTGTAGTCTTGCCTTTGAGGTTTGGGCCCCTGAGATGCGTTTCAGGGTTCAGGGTTTCTCTGGGTTGCGGATGTCTTGAGGGTTTGGGGTTCTGCTTAGGCTTTAGGGCCTTTAGGGCATCCTGTGGAAGGCGCGGAGTTCGGCGACTCGAGCAAAGCACCCGGAAAGAAAAGCCCATCAACGCTATCTCGGCCCTTAGCTGGTATCGCGATTCTCTGCAGAGCCGACTTCATTCTCTTCTAGTAGGCATCTGCTTCTGCCTACGACCTTCTCCTAGGTTCCCCAGTGGCCTCTCCATAATAAGGCTACCCTTTTTCCTGCGTTTTGGTTGAAATAAGGGAACCCAAAAAAAGAAAAAGTGCAACAGTGTACTACTCGGGACCCTAGTCTAAACCCTAAACCCCTAAACCCTTAAACCCCTAGAACCCCTAGAACCCCTAGAACCCCTAGAACCCCTAGAACCCCTAGAACCCCTTAAACCCTAAACCCCTAAACCCTTAAACCCCTAAAACCCCTAGAACCCCTAGAACCCCTAGAACCCCTAGAACCCCTAAACCCTTAAACCCCTAGAACCCTCAAGAGTCTTCAACCCAAGAAGCTGCCCCCCAAAAAAAAGGGGGGGGGGGGAAGGCGCCTGCAAGGACCGGCCCGGCCCAGGGTGGCAAGACGTCCGTGGCCGAGGCCAGGAGGTTGGAGACCCGGAGGGCCTCGAGGCTTCAAGGGCCTTCTTTAGGGGCCTTCTTTAGGGGCCTTTGTAGGGGCCTTCTTTAGGGGCCTTGAGGGGCTTTGAGGGGCCTTCTTTAGGGGCCTTTGTAGGGGCCTTCTTTAGGGGCCTTGAGGGGCTTTGAGGGGCCTTCTTTAGGGGCCTTTGGGGCCTAGGGGCCTTCTTTAGGGGCCTTGAGGGGCTTTGAGGGGCCTTCTTTAGGGGCCTTTGTAGGGGCCTTCTTTAGGGGCCTTGAGGGGCTTTGAGGGGCCTTCTTTAGGGGCCTTTGTAGGG